GTCGTGCTCCATCTGCCTGGAGCCCTTCAAGGAGCCGGTCACCACGCCGTGCGGCCACAACTTCTGCGGGTCGTGCCTGGGTGAGACGTGGGCCGTCCAGGGCGCGCCGTACCTGTGCCCGCAGTGTCGCGCCGTCTACCAGGCGCGCCCGCAGCTGCACAAGAACACGGTGCTGTGCGCTGTGGTGCAGCAGTTCCTGCAGGCCGAGCTGGCCCAGACGCCGCCCCCCGACGGCTGGACGGCGCCCGCCCGTGCCGACGCCCCCGCTCCGGACGCCCGGGTGGCCTGCGACCTCTGCCTGAAGGAGGCCGCCGTGAAGACGTGCCTCGTGTGCATGGCCTCCTTCTGCCAGGAGCACCTGCAGCCGCACTTCGACAGCCCCGCCTTCCAGGACCACCCGTTGCAACCACCGGTTCGCAATCTGCTGCACCGCAAATGTCCCCAGCACAACCGGCTGCGGGAGTTCTTCTGCCCTGAGCACGGCGAGTGCATCTGCCACATCTGCCTGGTGGAGCACAAGGCCTGCTCGCCCGCGTCCCTGAGCCAGGCCAGCGCCGACCTGGAGGTAGGGGGTGACCCGTGAAGGCGCAGACCGCAGCCTGGGCCTGCGGGGTTGTGCAGAGGGGCCACCGTGGGCATATCTGGCATACCCTGGATCCCCCGGAACATCGATGGGTCTTGCTGGGCTTGAGATCAGGCAGGGGCATCCCTATTGTCAGAGTAGAAAGGATCTGGGAGATTATATAGCCCTCTCCCCTCATCTTGAGTCCACCCCACCCCCACACACCTATTTTACAGAGGGGACAACTGAAGACATAGATGAGGTTGCTTGCCTTAAGCCTGCACTTGTCTGATGGTGTTTAGTAGAGGGTTTTGAATATCAAATATGAACCCTGGAGGTTAGCTCTGTTCCCTCATTAAATCCTGGTAGCAGCCAGGAGGTGGGTATTATTAGTTCCATTTCACGATTGAGGGAACTGAGGGCCAGAGCAGTTAACTTAGCCTGAGCTAATGTAGATGTGGCCAAGAGGGAGTTGGGACCCAGGTTGGTTTGACTCACAGTTTCTTCCCATGTGCCAGCCTCATACCCATGTCTGTAGAGTCCAGAGCATGGGACGTTCCTGGAGGCTTGAGGTCATGTAAGCAAAAGTCTTTGGTGAGCTCGAGTTATAGTGACCAGGGAGGGTCGCTGTTAGGGGCAGAGCCCCAGGAATCCTGGATATGGCCCAAAGGGAGTGCTAACACTCTTGCACCACAGTGTCCTTCATCTGGCTGTGTGACATTTGGCCTCTGGACCTGGGTCCTCATCAGTAAAGTGAGGAGGTGGGACCAGGTGGGTTCCTAAGGGCCTTTCAGGTGTGCGATGTTTTTAGTGGTGGTGGGGGATCATACCTTCCCCTTGCAAACTCAAAGTAGAGTCTGAAAAGATGTAATTGAACCACCTTTTGTTTTACCAGTCCAAGCTCCAAAGCATGGCCTGATTTCATTTTCTTCTCACAGCACTGTCAGGCAGAACAAGGCCCATCTGAGTGTTGTCAGAGGAGACGTGAGGCTGGGTGAGGTCAGGGGATGTTCTCAGTGGCGCCAGGAACAGGCACAGGCCTTGTTCCCGTCTGGCCACCACAGCACTGTCAGGCAGAACAAGGCCCATCTGAGTGTTGTCAGAGGAGACGTGAGGCTGGGCGAGGTCAGGGGATGTTCTCAGTGGCGCCAGGAACAGGCACAGGCCTTGTTCCCGTCTGGCCACAGCTCTTCCCCAGCCTCGTCTGTCTCTGGGTCTGAGCTGGGCTCCTCCGGACATTTTCTCTGAGTCTCAAAAGTTGGACCTCAGGGCATGTCCTGCGAGTTCACCTCCTCGGAGGTACAACCAACTTGGGTGTAGACACCTGGACCAGCCTAGCCTTTGGAGCCGGGAGCCCTGTTCTGCCCTGGATAGCTGTGTGGTTTGGGGCAAGTCACTGCCGATCTCTGAGCATCACCTTCCCTATCTGCCAAACTGGCTTAATAGAATTCCCTCCCCATCTCCAAGGGTGGTTGGAGGCTCCGGAAAGATAAGTTGTGTGGGAAATGCTTTGTAGGCAGAACCCAGTGTCAGACGTGGTTGGTTACATGGGTTCCAACCAGAGTGGGTGCTGAGATGTGGGTTTGAATCCTGACTCTGCTTCCCGGTTGGGAAATCTCTGCAGCTGGGAAATGATAAAAAGGGGATCGTGGTAGTACCTGTCTGAGAAGGTTATTGTGAGGGTTAAATGAGGCAATCTATATAAAGTGTTTTCCTGTGAAAGTGCCATAAGAGCCGCCGCTGCCATTTCTGTTAGTCAGGTACAGGGGAAAGTGGCAGGCTGCAGGAAGCCCTGGGCTGCCGGGTTGTCCTTGCCTCAGACACGTAGGCCTTCCAGTGAGGATCGGGGCAGCCTGGCTCCTGAAGAGGCACTTGTGAAAGTTCTTATCCATGGGCAGAAGGCAGGTAGGACAGGAGGGGCCTGCCCATCCAGGCCAGAAGTCACAGCTCGCTCTCAGCCTCCACGGCCAGCGTCAGAGTGTGCCCAGCTCTGTGTGCCCTGCAAGTTGGGCTTGTCAAGCCTCATAACAGGCCTTTCTCCCTGCTCCTAACTGTCCTTTAATGGGTCTCCTTTTTGAGCCCTGCTACTGTGCCAGTCCCAGCTGGGCAGTGCCCTCAGCCTTGGGTGGCTGGCTTGTCTTGGCCACTGGTGTGGGATGGACTTAGGATTTGGTGCCTCCCACACGGAGGACCCAAGTTCCTTGTCTGTGAAAGGATACTGAGTACTCCAAAAAGTTCTTTACCCTTGATTAGGGTTTTGTTGTGGCTACCAAAGTCCTTGGCCCACTTTTCTTTTGTCTGGAGTCATGTGAGCCCCTGTCTGTGATGAGAGGACTGTCATTTGTGTTTGATTAATGGTGGATAAAATCTTTTAAAATAAAAGGCTCAGGGTGCAGTGCTAAGAGCGGCTGTTGGGGGTGAATTGGTTGCAGCCACTGGGTGTTCTGAGGTCTCTTCCTGCTCTGAGACCTGCAAGGCCGGCTCTGCCTGGGCCTGGCCTTTGGCCCGTACCTCATTTTGGCCACAGTTAGAGGCCAGGTGAAAGGGCAGTGTCACAGAGGTGGTCTGAAACGTCATCAGTGGCTTGGGCTTTCTGGGTCAAGTTAGCGTGGCCTTGGTCACTGCTTCCAACCCTTATATGTAACTGTCACTGGACTGTTCAAATCCACATTCAAGGTCAGGTTCAGCCCTGAATATCTAGGGTGGAGTGGGAGAGGCAGGAAAGTGTTAGGGAGGACCACAGTATGTTGAGCCAGCTAGTTGGGGGAAGAAATGTTTTTTTTCTAGAATTTTTCAGCGTGCTCAGTTTAGACACGTGTCTTTTATTTATTTCTGGTTGACATGTATTGATTGTACATATTTATGGAGTACAGAATTATATTTCAATACATGTGTACAATGTGTGATGATCAAACCAGGGTAATTAGCTTATCATCGCAAAAATTTATCATTTGTTTATGATAACAGCATTCGAGCTCCTCTCTTCTAGCCAGTTGAGAACATACAACAAATTATTGTTAATCACAGACGCCTAGCACTGCTGTATGTACACCACTAGAACTTATTAGTCCTGTCTAGCTGTGATTTTGAATCTGTTAACCAACCTCTTCCCAGCCCCCCTCCTCCCTGTCCCCAGCCTCTAGTAGCCACAATTCTACTTTCTACTTCTATAAGCTCGACTTTTCTTTCTCTTTTTTTCAACTCCCACCTATGAGGGAGAACAGGTGGTATTTATCTTTGTGTGTGTGAGTGATTTCACTAAATACCAGTATCTTAGCTGTGCCAGGTAATAGCAATGTGGGCTTGGGAAAGTCACTCAATTGCTCTGTGCCTCAGTGTCCTTATCTGTAAAGGTTGGGTAATTCCTACCTCATAGTGTTGTGTTGTTCTTAGCTTTAAAATAAGTTCATACGTGTAAAGCACTAGAGCAGTGCCTGGCACCTAGTAAGTACATAGTAAATACCAGCTGCTGTTATTGTGGCCGTCATGGTTGTTTTTTCCTTCCCATTTCTGTGCCCCAACATTTCCTCTGAGCAGGGAGGGAGAAGACTCAGATAGTGATTATGAAAATTTATAGAAATAATACGAGGATGATTTATCTTCCTTACTGCACAATTTACCTTTGTTTCTGGACGTGGCTAGGGACCTAGCAATTCTGAATTAGTCTAATTTGGTTTTAGGGATTTAACTGATTTGTGGCTGGGCTTTAGCTCCTTGGGCTGGTTCATCCTATTTCTAGCCCTTGGTGATCCCAGCCTACAGGGTGGCCAGGTGAGCCCTGGACTCTGATTTTTGTCCCCTTGCCTCCCTGGGGCTGACAGAGGCTCTCCCAGCTTTCTTCTGGAATTGGCAGATGCCTCTGGGGAGAATGATCCCAGATGTCAGGCTGATCTTTCTGGGTCCCTTTCACCTGGATCTTGGCTCCATAATCCTTCTCTGCTTTGATCTACTTTTTGCAGATTTTTAAAAAATTTTATTCAAAAGATGACCAGTAAGGGGATCTTAACCCTTGACTTGGTGTTGTCAGCACCACACTCAGCCAGTGAGCGAACCGGCCATCCCTATATAGGATCCGAACCCACGGCCCTGGTGTTATCAGCACCACACTCTCCCAAGTGAGCCACGGGCCAGCCCTGCAGATTTTTTTTTACAAATATTTCTTCTGCTTTTCTGGTTGTTTGCAGAGGGAGGGTTGGTCTGAATGACCTCATCTGCCATTGCCGGTGCAGCTGTCCCAGCTCGTGCTGTCACTGTGTGAGCTTGGTCACCTTGCTATTCTCCTTGCCTCAGTTTCATCAGCTGTTAAATAGGTAGCAGTGGACATTTAGTATGTCTTTACTAAGCTCCAAGCAGTGTGCTGTGGACTTACATTGTTTCAATTAATTCTCCTAATACTCCTGGGAGGTGGGAACAATTCTATTTTGTGGCCAAAAAAACAGGTGAGAGACAGTTGCACAGCTAGGAACTCGGACTTGGACCCTGTCTGCTAAAATGCTGTCCTCTTAACTTCTTTACTGTATTGTCCCCCTACAAGGATGAAGGGAGACAATAAATATGGAAGTGCTTCAAAAAGCTACAAGCAGGTGAGACTTGGGGTGGCAGAAACACCTGTGGGTTAGATTTGGGGTATGGTCCCCAACGTTACGTGCTGCGGGGGCTGGGCTGAAGAGGTGCTTTATCACCCTCGTTTGTTTTCCCCGCAGAACAAGCTGAGGCAGAAACTAACTGTCATGTACGGTCAGATCAATGGGGCGTCGAAAGCACTGGAAGATGTGAGAGCCAGGCAACAGGATGTGCGGGTGAGTGGCAGGACCCTCCGGGCAGGACTGGCATGATTCTGACCTGAGAAGGCTGGTGTTTGGTGCACTCACAAGAGTCAGAATTAAATGTCAACCTTGCAAAGCATGCAAAAAGCTGTGTGGCCAACAGATCCTTCACAGACACATTGAAAACTACCCATAAACTCAACCTTGGAGGAATCATTAAAAATTTGGGTTAAAAAGCAGTAATATAGAAAAATGGTTATGATATAAAGTAGGAGAAAAACAGGAAGCAAAAGTATATACCCACTGGCCGTTACATGTGTTTATAAAAAGGACATGTGTTAGTTTCCTAGGGCTTGCATAGCAAATTGCAACAAATTCGGTGGCTTACAGCAATAGAAATTTATCCTTTCACAGTTCTTGAAGCCAGAAGTCCAAAATCAAGGTGCTGGTAGGGCCATATTCTTTCTGAAGTCTCTAGGGGAGAATGTTTCCTTTCCTCTTCCAGCTTCTGGTGACTCAGGTGTTCCTTGGCTTATGGCTGCATTGCTCCAATCTCTGCCTCTGTCCTCACATGGCCTCCTCCTCCCTCGGTGTCTTTTCTCATCTGTCTCTAATAAAGACACTTATCATTAGCTTGAGGGTTTACCTGAGTAATCCAAGGTGATCTCATCTCAAGATCCTTAATACAATTACATCTGCAACGATCCTGTTTCTAAGTAAGGTCACATTCACAGGTTCTGGAATGTGGACATATCTTTTGGGGGGCCAGCATTTAACTCTGAGTAATCCAAGGTGATCTCATCTCAAGATCCTTAATACAATTACATCTGCAACGATCCTTTTTCTAAGTAAGGTCACATTCACAGGTTCTGGAATGTGGACATATCTTTTGGGGGGCCAGCATTTAACCAGAAAAATGGTTATGATATAAAGTAGGAGAAAAACAGGAAGCAAAAGTATATACCCACTGGCGTTGCATGTGTTTATAAAAAGGACATGTGTTAGTTTCCTAGGGCTTCCATAGCAAATTGCAACAAATTCGGTGGCTTACAGCAATAGAAATTTATCCTTTCACAGTTCTTGAAGCCAGAAGTCCAAAATCAAGGTGCTGGTAGGGCCATATTCTTTCTGAAGTCTCTAGGGGAGAATGTTTCCTTTCCTCTTCCAGCTTCTGGTGACTCAGGTGTTCCTTGGCTTATGGCTGCATTGCTCCAATCTCTGCCTCTGTCCTCACATGGCCTCCTCCTCCCTCGGTGTCTTTTCTCATCTGTCTCTAATAAAGACACTTATCATTAGCTTGAGGGTTTACCTGAGTAATCCAAGGTGATCTCATCTCAAGATCCTTAATACAATTACATCTGCAACGATCCTGTTTCTAAGTAAGGTCACATTCACAGGTTCTGGAATGTGGACATATCTTTTGGGGGGCCAGCATTTAACCTATTATAGGAAGCATAGGAAAAAAGATTGGAAGGGAGTATTATAGAAGGAGAGTAGTGGAAGTTTTGGAGTGGTAAATTAGAGGTGATTTTCTGTATTAGTTTTCTGCTGCTGTACAGAATAACACAGACTGGGTGTTTTATAAAGAAAAGAGGTTTATTTAGCTTGTGGTTCTGGAGGCTGGGAAGTCCAAGAGCATGGCACCAGCATCTGGTGAGGGCCTTCTTGCTGCGTCATAACATGGCAGAGGACATTGCATGATGCATGTGTTTATAAAAAGGACATGTGTTAGTTTCCTAGGGCTTGCATAGCAAATTGCAACAAATTCGGTGGCTTACAGCAATAGAAATTTATCCTTTCACAGTTCTTGAAGCCAGAAGTCCAAAATCAAGGTGCTGGTAGGGCCATATTCTTTCTGAAGTCTCTAGGGGAGAATGTTTCCTTTCCTCTTCCAGCTTCTGGTGACTCAGGTGTTCCTTGGCTTATGGCTGCATTGCTCCAATCTCTGCCTCTGTCCTCACATGGCCTCCTCCTCCCTCGGTGTCTTTTCTCATCTGTCTCTAATAAAGACACTTATCATTAGCTTGAGGGTTTACCTGAGTAATCCAAGGTGATCTCATCTCAAGATCCTTAATACAATTACATCTGCAACGATCCTGTTTCTAAGTAAGGTCACATTCACAGGTTCTGGAATGTGGACATATCTTTTGGGGGGCCAGCATTTAACTTATTATAGGAAGCATAGGAAAAAAGATTGGAAGGGAGTATTATAGAAGGAGAGTAGTGGAAGTTTTGGAGTGGTAAATTAGAGGTGATTTTCTGTATTAGTTTTCTGCTGCTGTACAGAATAACACAGACTGGGTGTTTTATAAAGAAAAGAGGTTTATTTAGCTTGTGGTTCTGGAGGCTGGGAAGTCCAAGAGCATGGCACCAGCATCTGGTGAGGGCCTTCTTGCTGCGTCATAACATGGCAGAGGACATTGCATGATGAGAGGTCAAAAGTGTGTCAGCTTGGGTCACTCTTCCTCTTCTTATAAAGCCACCAGTCCCATCATGTGGACCCCACCTTGATGACCTTACCTAATCCTAATTACCTCTCAAGGGCCCCACCTCTAAATGCCATCAACATATCAATTTGTACATTAAGTTTCTAACACATGAAATTTGGGGGACACATTCAAATCATAGCAGTTTTGTTTCCTTTATTTTCAATTTTTTTTATAAGGTTAAATTGCCTTTAAATTGAAAAGTTTGATTTTTAAAGACCCTGTTCCAGAGCTGCAGCACCCAGTTTTATTGCAGCAACTGTGGCTTAATTCAGTGAGATCTGGGTTAGAATACCAGCTCTGTCACATACTAGTCTATGTGGCTTTGGTCATGTTGGCAGATCTCTGAGTCTTAGTTTTCCCATCTGCACAATGGGATCATAGCTTCTTTCCAAAGGTGATTGTGAAGCTTAAAGGGAAGGATGTACATGAAAGTGCCTGTATTGGTTAGAGGGCAGGCCAAACTGCTGTAACAAAGACACCCCAAAATTCAGAGGCTTAAATAAGATAGAAGTTTCTTTTGCTCACTGAGACAGTCCAAGCCCACTAGGACTTGGACTACTGATCCAAGTCATCATTCAGAGATTCTGGGTCTTTCCTTCTTATTGCCCTACTACTCCACAGGGTGTTGTCCTCATCACTTTGATAGAAGCTGGGTCATCATTACATCTTTATTTTAGCCTGTGAGAAGGGGGACAGGTGGGAAGTGGAGGACAACAAGCAATTTCCTTTTAAGCAGATGACATGGTGTTGCACATGTCACTTCTGGTCATGCCTCATTGGGAGGAGCTAAGCTTAGCTGCAAGGGAGGCTGGGAAATGTAGTCTAGGCAGTCACATGCCCAGACAAAACTCCAGGGGTGTTCTCTTAGTAAAAGGCAAAAGGGGAGAATGAATGTTGGGGGACACTAATAGTCACATTGGCAGTGGCAGAGTAAAGGGTTGGATAAAGAAATAGTTGAATCTCAACTCTCCCAGTATACTATCCTTCTTGTATGTATTTCTGTTTGTTATGTTTAATTCCGAGCTACTGAGGTTACCCAACATGTTAAATAAAACTGCAGCTGCTAAAGCAGTGCTATCCAACAGAAATATGAATATAATGGGAGCCTCTGATGTAATTTGAAATTAATTTGAATAACACATGAAATTAATTTAAAAAATACAATGTATTTAATTCAGTATATCCAAAATATTATCATTTCAAGAGATCATCAATTAAAAAAGTATTAATGAAATATTTTATATTCCTTTTTTTGGTACTAAGTCATTGAAAGCCAATATATATTTTATACTTATGACATCTTAATTTGGACTAGCCACATTTCAAGTGCTCAGTAGCCACATGTTACAAGTAGCTATGTTATTGGAAAGTACAGTTCTAGAGGAGATATTGTCTAGAAATTTTCTAGAGCTGCATCATGCCCTTTCTTTAAAAAATTACCTGTGAATGGCCTTTAGCTTAAGAAATAAAATAACACTGGTGCAGCCCCTGCCCTGTGTTTCTCACTTATTACATCCTCCTGCCTCTCCTCCAGAAACAACCACTATCCTGAATTTGTTCATTCATTCCCATGCATTTCTTTATACTTTTATTATATATGTATGCATTCCTTAGTCATAAATACGTCCATTCTGTGTGTTTTAAGAGCATCATACTATATATCTTCTCCAAGTTTTTCTCTCGCGGAGATTTATCCGTGCATAGCTCCAGTTTTAATTTTCATAACTGTTTCATATTCTATCCTGTGAATAGTTCTTGGTCTGTGTATCAAGTCTGCTATTGATACTGTTCAGATTGTGTCCAGGTTTTTGCTACTTCAAACAATGCTACCTATGAACATTCTTGCACGTGTCTCCAGGGCAGGTGTCTGAGAACTTTTCTGGAGTATATTTCTAGGATTGGAGTTGCAAGGTTATAGGGCATGAGCACCTCCAAATTTACTAGATATTGTTAAATTGCTGTCCAAAGTGGTTGTGCCCCTTTGTACTCCCACGAAGTACAGGTAAAAGTTCCTGCTGTTTCTAGGATTGGAGTTGCAAGGTTATAGGGCATGAGCACCTCCAAATTTACTAGATATTGTCAAATTGCTGTCCAAAGTGGTTGTGCCCCTTTGTACTCCCACGAAGTACAGGTAAAAGTTCCTGCTGCTCTGCATCTCACCAGCACTTGGGATTGCAGCCTCAGCGTTTTTGCCAATCTAATGGGTGCCTTCTTGCCTTGGCCCTTGCAGGAGTCTGCAAACAAGAAGATGGAGCAGCTCAGACACGAATACCTGGAAATGAAGGCTCTCATTGATGCCTCAGAGGCTGCCGTGACACGAAAGATAAAGGAAGAAGAGAAGAGGGTCATCAACAAGTTGGACACCATTTATCAGATTCTCCTCAAGAAGAAGAGTGAGATCCAGACGCTGAAGGAGGAGATTGAACTTGGACTGACTAAGGGGGAAGAGTTTGAGTTTCTGGAGGTGGGTCATGATGAGAGCATAGCTGAATACTGTTTTTTTTTTTTTTCCTTTTTTTGTCTTTTTTTCGTGACCGGCAACGGATTGCAACCCTCAGTGTCGCGCCCGTACCGGACCGGGACCGGCAATGGAATCGCAACCCTCGGTGTTACGCCCGCACCTCGCTCAGCCAGTGAGCGGCCGGTCTGTATGTGGGATCCGAACCCTCGGCGGGAGCGCCGCCGCTCTCACAAGCGGCGCACTGTAGCAGTGTGCCACCGGGCCGGCCCCTGAATACTGTTTTTACCCAGCATCGTGATGTTGATTATAGGTACAGTAGGGCCCTCAAGGAATTGGGGCTCTATGAGGTCATTGGAAGTGTCCCTGAGAGACACGCTGTATTAGTTTTCTATGCTGTGCAACAGCTTATTTATTTGGACACACATTTATTATCTCAGAGTTTCCTGGATCAGGAGCCTGCACATGGCTTCATGGATTGTCTGCTCAGGGTCTCCCGCGGCTGCAGTCTGGGGGTTGGCTGGGCTGCAATCCTTTTGGAGCTCAGGGTTGTCTTCCAGGCTCACATATTGTTGAATTTAGTTCCTTATGGTTGTAGGACTGAGGTCCCCACTTTCTTGCTGGCTGTCAGCTGAGGCCCTCTCTCACCTTGGCAGCTTACTTCTTCAAGCCAGCAGGAGAATTTCTCCCTCTGGGAAGGTTAGGCCCCTCTTTTAAGGGCTTTTATCTGATTAAATCAGGCCCATTCAGGATAATCCCTTTTTGATTAGTTCAAAATTAACTAATTTGGGATCTTAATTACACCTGTAATATTCCTTCCCCTCTGCCATATGATGTAACCTAATCACAGGAGTGCTGTCCTGTCATAGTCACCGTCCCACCTGTACTTAGGGGAAGTGGTTAGGGAGGGTATGTACATGGGGGAGGGGAGATCTTGGGGTCATCCTAGAATGTTGCCTACCACACACACCTCCATTCTTCCTTCCCATTTTTCCTCTACATGGCCCCTGGAAGTGTCTTTCCAAAGCACAGACTGCTCTGCCCTTTCTGGCTTCATGTTGCTTAGCATGGCCCCCAAGGTCCTTGGTGATCGGACCCTACCTTTGCCAGCAGCCTCATCTCTTGCCACCCACCCCCAGCCCGTCCATGTGCTTTAACCACAGTGGGGCACTCACCATTCCCTGGCACTGGTGGGAATGCCCAGCCTGACCTCCTCTGCCTAGTGGATTGCGTCCTCCCAGGGCCCGCTCCAGTTCCCCCTGTCTTCCTTGGATCCCAGAATATGCCACTGTTGGTGCTGCAGAGCACGTTACGCTCCTCTGCTGTAGCACTGGATGATGTCGTTCCAGATGTGCTTGTTTTCATGTCTCTTTTGGCCATAAGACCGTCCCTAATTACTACCCTTCCTCTTGCCTGTCCAGCACACAGCAGAATGTGGCATGCCCGGGGTGTCCAGTGCACCACACTGATGCAGTGACCTGCCACTGTACCTCAAGGGCCCAAATTCCTTGTTCAGGTTGTGGGGCGAGTACAGGAGTGGCCGGGTACCCTCTTCTCTCTGTGCACAAATGCCCATCCATGCCCAGGCTGTTCGGTGTCAAGTTTCATTCTAAGCGCTCACTCCTGTTTGTTGGAGCGGTTGCCTCAAGCTCTCCGAGAAGGATTCTGAGTCCATGTCCCAGCCTCTAGATACTGTATTTGTTCTCAAAATTTGGGACCTTCAGTAAGATCGCTTCTTCTTCTTCTTTTTTTTTTTTTTTTTTTTTTTTTTTTTTTTTTTTCC